AAAACGCTACGAATTAATTCCAACACCTAATACATACACAATGATGGCTCATATGACAGCAATCATATTTCATTACTTTATTGTATCCCAAGGGTGATACGTGTCACAGCTCCATGGTTACTTCATGGCTAACAAACGATCTTTAAGTCATATCTTATAGCAGAAACTGATAGTATTAATGTGACTAACTAGATGTGAATAGACCACAAAAAGTTTATGTTAGTTTTTGCATACATTACGAGGAAAACGAAGCAAAAAACTGCATTTAGAAAAGAAACCTTCATAATTACTCACTTAAAACTAAAGTGCTCCTAATAAGATATTTATATAATTGATAATGGAACAAAGAAATTTCTCTCACGATACTTCATTGATGTTCAGTTCATCGAAAGTCCAAGAACGAGTCAAAAACAGAAAAGAAGGAAGGAGATGGCGACTATTCCATGCGACAGACTTTCAATCCTTGATGTATCCCTGTTTCATCTTTTGCCGCGTTCTCGGAATATTTCCGTACAGAATTAACGCTTCATCTTACGAAATTTCTAAATCATGTCAAATCTTGTGGACTGTCATTATGAGTGTCGTTTGTTTTTGCACACTGATGACAGTCTATGTGATCAACCATTCTAGATGGTTTGAGGTCTCGAGCTTACGCAGGAGTATTGACCTTTATGCCTTCTATATATTTAGCGGTTTCATAGCGGTTGCTACATATGTTTGGGATGGTCCACGAATGCGTTTACTTCAGACCATACTGAAGATATCTTCCGAATTACCTTTGGAGACATATCGGAAACAGTGTGTGCTGATCCACGCCAAGGATATAATCGGTTTTCTTTTCTTACTCCTGCAAGGATCGACCTCTTTCTTCTACTTGGAATATCCTGTATTGCTCAAGATGTTTTCAATCTACATCACTATGTTAGTGCTTCAGATAGATATGCTATACATGAATTGCATTTGTGTATTAAAGGCTTGCTTTGAGAGAATCAATGATAGTTTAGCAAATTTGCTCGTAATGAACAATAAACCACATTTATTCAGATACAACTACCAAGAACAAAAAAATTTTTTCTTGCTAATGGAACTAAAAACTCTAGAGAAACAACATCTGTTAGTCAACGATGCAGTACAAATGCTAAATATGATATTTAGTCTGCATCTCGTTGCTACTATAATTACAACCTTCGTTAGAATCACTTTCTTTTTGTATTATTGTATAATATTATGGCAAGATATCTTAAACTTCCAATTAACTAGTTCACAAAAACTGTTCTGTTACATATTTTTCATCGCATCCATGATATTTTATTTAATAAAAACAGCACTGGTAGTATGGGCATGCGAAACCAGCAAAGATCAAGCCATTAAGGTTGGCATTACTATTCACGATGTACTCAACAGCACTAATGACAAGCAAATTAAAGATGAGGTAATAAAAATGATAATTTAATTCGTATATTGGTAAAAAAAATGTCTCATATGTTATTGTGCTTTTTTGTTTTTTGACATAATTAATTACTTTTCGATCTGACATTACAGTTGAAGCTGTTTTCTTTGCAAATATTGCATACCACTCGTCGAAATACATTCTGTGCGAAAGGTCTCACTGTGGGTGCGCCGCTTTTTGCTGCTGTGAGTGATCAATCATTATCATTTATCTTTATTAATTTAATATATATTGCATGTGATTTTGCTTTTAGTTAATAGGTAACATCACCTCATATCTGTTAATCTTGATACAACTCACAAAAATGTCAATTTATTGCAAATGAGTTTACAGTTCAATACAGTACAATATTATACAGATAATATAATTGAATAAAAATATAAAGATATGAAAGACGAAGAAAAGAATATGTATATTTCTAAATATTAAAAATATTTTCTATTTATAAAACATAATCGTTCGATAATCTTTACTTGTATAACTATAGTTGCACATATACATATATGTATAGAAGCATTTAAAAATGTTATACTAAATGTATATTAACCATAAACAGAAAATAAATAAATGTATATTAAATGAGATACTTATTATTAATAAAAAATAAATAATGATTGATTTGCGATAGTTTTGGAATTTTTGTATCATACTAAGTCATACTTGATAGAGAGAAGGGGAAGAGAATCTTTTTTCATTGAATAACGAAATATTTGCGTAATACGAGACAAGATTGTTCCGCGTTACGAGTGTCGATGATACGATATCGGGAGCGAATGAATTTTATTACAGCCGGCGGACGCGTTTAATGCCGAGCAGCTCCGGCGGTTTAAAGGTCTGGATAGGCCAACTCAGCACCCTGATATTTCTTTGAATAGAGATCTGTGTCGTGCGATAGGCTCGTATAAAAGACGGGAATGAAGACGGAAGGAGCTCCACCTCTATCTTGCCCTTTCATTCGCCCGCTCCTCGTCGCCGTAGTTCTAATGTCACTTAGCATATCACCATTCTCCGTTCCTTTAGACTCAAATTTTCACGCTCTGCCTCTTATAGATAACTCCCGTAGCTCTAAACTCGTTAGTAAACCAAACTAATACTCATTGCAAGTGACACCAAGTGTGAAATGAAGTAACACAATCTTGAAACGGAACGTACGCCATCATAATTAAGGTACAAATGCAGTAGATCTCGTTAAACTTTACCTTTACTTGATTTAATATGATTCCATAGCTAAATTTCTATCAAATTATTAAACTAAAATTATACATGTAGAATGTATATATAATACGATAACATTGTATAATTATTTAAATTTTCATCATAACTAAAACATAATACATCTTTTCTCTCTGTTAACAATCACAAGAATCGTTTCATTTTCTTAATTAGCTAAATGTCATCTTGCCAAATTACAATTATTACTATTATAATTATTACTTTCTCTTTTCCAATCTCTCATTATTCGCTACTGTTATACCTTTATTATTTAATTAATTCCCACGTTGCTCGAAAGGGATTAATCCTCTGGGACGCAATAAACGTTTTATGTCTACGTCTACGTCCGATCGGGTGAGGTCGTGTCAGAATCGCGGAATAGCACTGAACTCGACACGAGTAACCCGGGAATAATCCGTCACCATAAAAACCGTGCCTGCTACAAGTCCCAATGGCGGGACGACGAGGACATTAAATCTCGACAACATGAGGCATTGAACCGGATGGACAACACGGTAGAGAAAGTGAACCGCGTGAAGGTATGTACACTGGGAGCGGAACGAAAACCCACGGCAAACTCAATTTTCCGTGTTAACTTGGTCGACGAGGAGGTTGCAACGAGAGTCCGGTCTGATCGCTTAATATTCATGGAGACGTGGCAAGCAGGTTTCAGTGTTCCTCTTCGGTCAGCCAAGTGGGTTTATGGTTGTTTCCACTTCGAAACGACCCGTCGCAGATCGGACGAGTCATACGGCGCGTTTCACCCGCGAGAATTCGCACCCTGACAGCCTTTACTTATGTCGACAGTCGCGAGACTGCGAGAAGATTTGTTGGGTAAGCCATGGTTGCGTTGAATAAGAAAAAAGCAAAAGAAGTTTCTTACTACTTTCCATTTCAAAGAACTCATCTTGAACATGTAATCAATCGAATGTTTCAGATTAAATGGGCAATTTATAGCAATAGGAGATGGCTTTCAGCTTTGCCGGAATGTATCATCGTTGATTGCTGAAAATGCAGGCTAATGACGATTGTTGCAGTAATTCAATTAATCAGCATTGCCAAACAATACGAGATATGACTGACACACATTTTGCCAATAATGGCCGATTCTGATTGACTGTCAAAATACCGTTTGAAACTATAATACTAACTAAGAGTCGATCCAATTACGTTTAGTATCGTATTGATGAGATACTTCGCCTGCAATTTGGAACATTCTGTCATGATAACAATGAAGATTCGTGTAAAAATAAAAATAGGAACAGGATCATTGAAAATTATTAACTCTTTAAAGCTGAAGCCAAAAGTAGCATAAATTTTTACGCTGCGTCTTCTATGTATAAGACTCATTTAATTTATATTGATTAAAAAGCACTGATTAAAAGAAGAATGAATATTAAGTATTCTAATAAGAAATGATCCAAATTTGCAGATGTAAAATAAAGAAAATTGACATTTTAGACAAAGAGATTTATAATTAAGTTGGTCTAAGACCCACCATCAGCTCTCAAGGTTTTAAATTATAGCTCAAATGTTCAATTAAATTATTTTTAAATTGTCAAAATTTTATTGACTCTTCTTCATTAATCTTACAATTAGTTATGTAATTATCTATTGATTAATTTTCATCACTTTAACAAATATACAAAAATTATTTGATTCTTTAGATATATTACAACATCTTTAAAAAATACTTATAAAAATTTGTGAATTTAAGAAATTACATAGAAATGTTATAACTAATTACTCCCAGTTTCGAAAAAAAGAAATGCGCAGGACATTGGAATAATCCAATCCTACGTACTAAGAGTTAACTAAAAGATAAAAACCAGTATCGAGGAAAAGGATGGTAATAGTGAAATGAGATCGCGAGCACAATTATTATTATTATCATCTACGGATGACTTCTATCTCGCAATTGAATAATTTTAACGATTAACGTTGTATTTTTAACTCTGCTCATTATTACTGTAAAACTTTCCAACATTCATAAACATGTTCGATTCGAGAAAAAAACATTACGTCTTTTTAGATTTAAATATAATTTAGTTCTGAGGTTTTATTATTAAACAACGTGCACTAGTCGTAATAAAATTAAATTACTAAACATAATAACGATTAAAGGAGAAAATATTGATAGGTTAAATATTGCAGCTTTGTAGTAATTGGATTCACTTAGATGAAATAAGGTATCTTTCGAAGTGTGGCAATTATCAATTTTTTGATGAGTCTAAACTGTATTTAAAATAATTTTTTTTTCTCATTATCTCAATTCTGGATAACTAGAGTGCAAATAATTATTACATCAAAATGAGTTTGGGATCGGTAATTCTGTGATCTTTTATTAGTTAATGAGAATTTTCTATTTATAGAACAATTTTCTATTTGTATGCATCCATGTTTAAATAACAAATTTTTATTCATGAAGGAGCAGTTGCAGAATTATCGTTTCTAAACTCTTTGATATACCATTCTATGATATATCTATTCTATTTTGCATTTTAATTATACGCAATTCAGGCAATTAGAAATATAAGCGCTGTTAAAAGCAAAGTTTAAATTAAAATTGAAGAGGAAAATAACTAGCATTACATACTTATACAGATTCCTCATTCTACTTTAATCAATATCAATTTGAGTTCTTCATCGAGATCTATTAGACAGATATCACATAGGATTTGACATATTAATTGCCATGTTACAGAATAACAATTACATGTGCGAAAATTGTTCCCGATGTAACGTCAAGCTCGAACAATTTGTTTCCTGGTTTTCTCAACGGGGTCAACGAGAGTCATAAATCAAAGAGTGAACGATAGTATGAATGCTTCCAATCAATTAAGCGCATTTGTGAAAGAAAGGTTTCGTTGATCGAATCGACTTGTTATTCTCTGCATAACGAACGAAACGGTTCCTTTGAAATCTCAATGTAATCTACGAATGCATTTCGACATTGTCGTTAAAAAAATTTCAAACAAAAATGCGTCTTCATTTCGAATTCATATTTTTTCGTGCAAAAGGATCTAATTTTACTTTTAAATAGGCACTAATTGAAGTAAACTTCCAATGTAAATGTAAATCCTATTGTTTTATAACAGAAAGAAGTAAAACATATATATTTCAATTCCTTTATATAAGAAATCGAGATATTTTATATATTTATCTATTAAGACATGCTTGAACTCAATATAAAAAATTCTTAATAAGTATTTCAGAAATAGTTAATTAATATTTATATCTCGTAAAAACTAATCTTTCACTGAAAAAAATATTAAATTTTACAAAATATTTGATTAAGTAATTTTAAGTAAATATTTACTAAATATAAAGTATATTAATTTATAAGAATTTTATGTACAATTTTATGTATAAGATCCGATTAATTTGATTTAACTATATACTTTATCGAGTAAATATTTATTTAGTCTGAGAAAGAGAGACAGAAGAGAGAGAGAGAGAGAGAGAGAGAGAGAGAGAGAGAGAGAGAATGTTTAAACTATTCAAAAAAATATGTATCAAAAGATTTAATAATTTAATAATTTCTTTTCGAAGTATTTTACGGAGAAATATAATTAAAACTGAAAATTAAATTGTATTATTATATAGACATAAAATATTTATTAATTAAAATTATACTCGCTATTATATTTAAAACCAAAACTATATACGCATATCACATTGAAATTACAACTGTCAAGTTTAATTTAATCATGAATTTAAATAAAATCTTAAATCGCTTTGCTATTTAAGACAGATAAAGTAATTTGGTTCCTATATAACATTTCAATATAACGCTTTAAGTGAAGATTTCTCGATCTTAAAAGTTGCATTATGCTTACGAAGAACTAATACTACTGCTAATCCATATAGTGTTGCGTCGCGATACGTAAATCTTTCTCTCGTTGGAAGATATTGCGTGTACCAAATATGATCACGATCGTGGGTCGTAAAGGCTGCTTCGTAGTTGCAGCAGAAATGAAATTTCTTCGTGCGAAAAAGATTTATCGGCTGTGCCATTCTATACAAATGGATGGTAGCTCGCCGCGCATTTATATGATGCGG